GGGATGGAGTTTGTGATGGAAATAATCAGTCACGGGGTCTGATAGATTGTGCGGCTGCCTAAGAAGCTTATTGCAAATAATAGCGCTGGTCAGTGAGACGGGGCTTGGCGGTGCCTGGTCTCGCCGTTGGCCTCTGTGGGTGCTGGATAAAGCTGCGATGAATGTGTGATAACAAACAGTGCTGATAGCTGTTATCTCCAGCTGTCTCCTAAATATAATTGTTAATTGAATTTCCCCTCAAGAGTTACATCGTGACCATTGAACAGCTGCAAGTTCATTAGATATAAAGCTACTGACAAGGGCAAGTCCTATTTTCTGGTCTTTACACTCAAACTAGCCCAGTTAATAAAAGAAAGAACGGTTAACTAAATGCTGAAAAACACCATGAAGAGAAGAAATGCAACCAAAAATCTGTGCAATAAAGCCGTGATGCTCAGATGTTCTCATGGTGTTTTCCTGGGGAGTGCATTTATACCGTATTGTCACTGCGTGGGCCAGGAGCTGGGCTTGATGATCCTTATGGCTCCCTTCCTACTAAAGATGTTCTGTGTTTCTCTGTTTCTACACACCTCTTGTACCACCCACTAGTTTTATTTCCACTCCAGTGCAGCAGGAAATAATCCAGTGTGTGATCCATACACCAGTTTGAACATACCTCCATTTACAGCCATCACAAAACAGTCTGCACAAGTGCTGTAACTTTCTTCTGCAGAAAAGTACCAGTAAAGCAACCCTGTGTGAATAAGGTTTACCCAGACACATAAAGGAGGCTCTATGCTACTTCGTACCTCTCCCATCAAGTATTTTTCTGGTAACATCTTGGGAAAGTGGAAGTCTATAATCACTTTAGGTGAATCAAATAACATTTTTTCAAGGCTTCAGTGAAAGTAATTGTTCTGAGTTATGGGATGAGACCAAAATAAAATACTTTGCTACTTCCCCTACTACAAACAGCCAAACATTATCAAACAGGCATTGCCAAAAATGAGAGAATTTTGCTTTTTCTCATTTGCCCACACCTATGTTTTTAATAGAAGAAAGGCGATGAGTTTGTGTTGCGTGCTCAGTACTTCCAGTGCCTTTCCATTCCCAGAAGACTTTGTATCACGTGTTTTTGCAGACTACTTCTGTCAGCGTTTACATTATTACCAAGCAGTTTGGACTATCATTTTTATTTTTATTTATTATTTTTTTCTTGACATCTTTTGCAGAAGCATTCAAATCACTTTCTGTTTCCTCCTATCTACCCTTTGCAAAGAATTTATATGCGAATTTCTGCACTTTCTGGCTTGAGATAGAAATAAAAGTTGACTTTTGTCAAATTTGTGTGCACAGTCTGTCACATTTCCTGTTTTGCTGGTGAAAACAGAAATAAACAGTAGGTGAAGCCAAACTCTGAAATGAATACTTGTATCATAAACTCTGATTAACTGGGTTCCTGGCCTAGAAGTGGTAATGAAGAATATGTATGTGTAAGGATAAGTAAAAATATTTTTCAAATAATCTAGATGTGCCTTGAAACTGAAAAATCTAAATTTACTTCTTTTCTGCCTTTTCTGGGTAATTCTTTTTTACTCGAGTGTGGTAGCAGTTGGTTCAAACGGCAGTTGCCAGTGTGGGAAAGTGTATATTAAATGTGAAGCATATGGATGTTGTTGTTTGGACTTGGAGGAAAAAAAAGAAAAAGAAATTCTAGTCCAATTTTCTGAAACTGAACTTGGCAGATACATAAGGAATGTCAAAGCTCCTCTCTGTTGCTTCATAGCTGCATTATTCTATATATATATATTAAAAACACAAAAACGTGAGCACTGCCAGCCTCAGGGTGCTTGTTTAACAGGACCATCGAATCTCCTCATGTGTGACCCCTGTACCTCAGGCACACAACTGCCTTCCACCAGAATTAAACACTTACTTCCCAGGCAAAAACGTGCAAAGTGTGCTATCAGCACCTCAGTCATGCTGCTATCTAATTCGACCTCATTGTTCTCAGAAATGATTCCTGTTTACAGAATCTGAAACAAGAAGGAAGGAAAATTGAGTCCATCTGCAATTACAACAGTAGTCATGCATATAGAACTTGTGATTTCAAAGTATTTTCTGCCTATTGAATCATTTACATTTGATAATTATTAAAAAACTAATCCTTTCTCCCCAGTGTACTGGCATTCTGCTACTTAAAACGAAAAAAATATGACACGTGTTGCCAAGTGAGTCAAAAATACATTTGTTCTTCAAGTTTGCAATATGTTTTGGCTGTAGCAGTGTGTAAAAGCACATTTGGTTCCCAAGTCATATGATGAAGGACTAGCTTTCATAACAAGGAGCCCGTCTGTGCTATCAACAGCTTTTTCCTCTCCTATTAAGTAGGAGGAATATGAATCGAGAGCAACCTAAATATGGTCGCCACTTGTTTTGTTTTGGCATAAAATCCTCAGAATTGATGAACCCAAGTGTTGTAGTTGAGAAAAAAAAACTTAGTCTTCCCATTCATGTGAAATTTCGACTGTTAGCAGTGGATTGAGTAACACTGTTAACACATTCCCCTGTTGGATGGCATGCTGCCTTAGGTCAACTAACACCAGCAGTCAGCAGCAGTTAGGAAACTTGTCACTCGACTCTGACGGCGGTTTCTGCTCTCTCAGCTGTCAGTCAGGTACTTTTTTCCTACGTGGATGTTTTCCTTGATGACCCATCTGTACTTCCTGACTGAAGTTGAATTTTTTGAGTGACAGATTTCTATGTATATTAGGCTTTGGAAAAGAAAACCCAATCCAACATGAGCTTCGTATTGTCTCTATGATATTTACCATGCCCTGTGATACCCCTGTACCTCAAAAGACACCACTGCAAAAATAAAGCAGAATAACTGTTTTTTTTTTTTTTTGCTGTTGTTAGTGATGAAGATCCTCAGACTTCCTCATCCCCATGTTTCTAAATCGGTCAGTCACCCAAAGCAGGTGCTGAGAGATGCCAAAGGCAGCCGGGAAGCTGCTGCCATGCTGCTCACCCACTTGCAGAGAAGATGACATTAACATACATTCTCCCAGAAGAAGCATCCGTAGTTATTAGCTGCAATCTTTAGACTAACAAGGCCATTTCCATTGCAAGGAGCTGCTCCGTCCCTTCAAACAAGGACGTGAGAAAGGACTATAATTACAGCTTTCTGTTGAAGTGTTTACTGCCCTGCCCCTGGGAAATTTAGTTACTGTAAGGATTTTTGGGTTGTTGCAATTCCTTGTGTGGAATAAACAGTGAAGAGCAGTAATTACTGCTGCTCATCTTCCCTCCTGCCCCTAGGAACTCAACTGCAGCTATTGCTTTTTTGGGGAACAATGAGCAAGATGGCAGTAGGATTAGTCACTCTAAACAATATTCTGAAGCGTGTGAATGCAATTCAAATCGCTAGTTTTAATCAAATGAACAGGAGCACTGATTTTAAAAACAACACATGATGCTGGATTGTAGCTAGAAATCTCATCTGGAGACATCTGTTACCTCTTCTGCATTATTTAAAAAAAATCTGAGAAACACTGCTCTGCCTAAATATAGGAAAAATTTTGGTGAGCTTGAAGGGTGCAACTTAGAAATACACTTATTGCATAAACTTTTTTGAATCTGAGAATGTATCTATTCGGAGGATGGGGGCAAAAGCAATGACAGCATCTGAGTAAGGTGCCAAGGAACTTAAGCTTCCTGTATAGTACAGGCCAAAAATAAGTTCTTCTGAAGCGTGACTCAAACTAACTAATTTTAGGTCCCTAAAGT